CAGTTCATAGGAGCGACTACAGAGGGTAATCCAATCATCCTGACAGAGCTAATGCCAACCAGCCTAAGAAAGGAATTAGAGAGTGGAGGAGTGGCCTATCCAGCCATACTGAGCATCAGTTTAGATGTAGCCTGTGCTCTCAATTACCTTCATCTCTTCAAGCCTCATCCTATACTACATAGAGATGTCAGCAGTGCTAATGTACTCCTTCAACCAGTAGGAGTTGGTTGGAGGGCTAAAGTATCAGATTATGGTACAGTTAGTCTCCAGCCACTTACCAGTACATGCTCTCCTGGTAATCCTGTCTATTCAGCACCTGAAGCAGGCAATCCAAGGGAACATTCTCCTGCAATGGATGTCTTCAGTTATGGTGTCCTCCTTATAGAGATGGTCGTTTGCCAGTTTCCAGACGTAGGAAAGAGAGTGGCTCAGATTAAAGCTATCAAGAGGCCGACATTGAAGAATCTCATTGAACGTTGTCTGATAGAGATCTACAAAGATCGTCCAACAATGTCTGACATTATAAAAGAAATAAAAGAAAAACTTGAGTGAAGTAGTGAATTAGTTTTGCACTAATTAATTATTAGTTTAATTTAGTTTTGTGTGATATTTTGACTACTCTATTGTGTTTTGTATTTTTTGAAAATTAAAAAAAAATTTTTAAAAAGATCTTCATCAAAATTCAATATCGTGCACACCTTGAGCAGCTAACGCCCACACAATTAAGTTACACCTTGAGCTAATGCCCACACAACTTGAGCTAAAACTCGTCATACAAGACAAAGAGAGGCAACAAGAGTAGGTTATTATCAGGTTTCAATGTTGATATGTTAACTAAAGCAGTAGCTCTATCATCAAGACAAAGACAAAAGCTACTAAGACAAGTAGCAGGCCCGTAGCCAGGGGGGGTTCGGGGGGTTCGGACGAACCCCCTGTTGTAGCTGCAAAAAAGTTTTAGATTAGCTCCTGTCATGAAGAACAGCACTGCAAAAGCAGGATTAGCATTTTGGCAACAGGGAGAAGCACAGATAGCCATTTTAGCTGAGTCAGCACATGGCTGAGATGCGTGAATCAAGACCACGCCTACCAACCACGCCCATTTTGCCAAAATTTCCGCTTCTCGCTTCGCGCGCAGCAATTTTCGAACCCCCTATTTTAAGTTCCTGGCTACGGCCCTGAGTAGAGCATACTAATAATAACTAATAATACTCTATTACTCTATTCCTCAATACATGTACAGTTTAAATGCACTCCAGCTGTGTCCTGTCTCCACAGTTTCTGTGATAAAGGAGCATGGGCTGATCCTGCTCTTCGTCCAATGCTTGAGTATTGTGGATACAGACTGCTTAATGGTCACATACAGTTATACAGAGGAACCAATGATAGGAATGTAATGGGTAGAGATGTGATCAGGTCTACCACAATGGCTGTACTTGCTGTTGATATTATACTACATAAAGACACTGAAGGAACAATATTATAATAATAACAATAACAACAATAACAACAACGAGACACCTACGGTGCTTGGACTCGCCGCCAAAACTGCTTTGTAATCTTCCAAAAAACCACTGAGATGCAAAGAGCTAGTGATTCATGGTTTGTATGACTGTCATGCACTCATGCTGCTCCTGCATCTACCAGACTCATGGATCGAAATTATTTGATTTTATTTGATTTCATAAATATGCACATTGACTATTATAACTTCAATAAAAAATTAAAGTAAAATTGTAAATATTTGAAGGACAGGGACTTATGCCTTTGCCCCTATAGGGCCCTAGTAGGAGACAAGGACACAAGCCCCTTCCAAAAATTTCTTTTTTAGTCTTGTTGGTATGTGACTAACATTAGTTCATACCTTAGCTATTTATACTAACTGTACATGATCATATCATTGTGGGTTGTACTCCAAGAATAATGATTAAAGGGACACGTTCACGGAAATAGAATGCACACGTTACTGTAGAGGAAGTAAACATTAAATTGGGCGTGCAACAGATCATTAATTAATAGTTATGACACGTGTAGAGAGTAGAGACAGCAATCAGTCGCAGAACCAGGAGTAGGCATCTGTAGAACACTTCTCTCGAACAGAATTAGCTCTTTTGCCACCCCAAGATACTCTTTTTAGTGAAGAAACACCAGGAATATTTACAAGTAGCCACTCGAGTAGCCATTTTGCCTTAATTATTAGGGGCGCGGCCGCACATTATGAATAGTTATCAACACTAAACGTCATCATTAATGATGTCATCTTGAAAAACAGGCCAGTTTTTCAAGATGACGTGCTTCCGTGCGTGTGTCCCTTTAATACAACATCAAAGAGTTGCTAGCCACAGATCACGTGATAGTTATGAAGATTGAAGAAACAAAATGGCCTTAGTATGACATGTGACTGAAGAAGCTTAAAGTTTGTTTCTTCTCACGAATGAGTTATGATAGAAAAGATGGCACAATACTGTTGCCTAGGTAGATGTGAGTGAGTTGACAGAGTTTAGTAC